TTTCCAAGAATTATTGAGGAGCCTCGACCATTATACATAACAAAATCAATACAAAAAGCTGTAATTGAAGTATTTGAAAAAGGCACTATAGCGTCAGCGGCAACTGTGGTTGGACCCATGCGAACGATGGCTTCTGCGCCCCAAAGACCACTCATCGAATTTATAGCCGATCGGCCTTTTATGTTCTTTATTCGTGATAACAAAAGTGGAGTCAATCTATTCATGGGTCAATTGAATAACATGACACGCCAACAGTTTCTTTGAAAATTCTTTTGATATTGCACAAGTACGAAACTTATTAGAAATTGTTGTAAACAATTTCATAAGAATAAACTGAACTTAAAATTTACAAAGTTTGTCTTCTCCAGTTTTCTATCATATTAAAATGGCATATTAAATATTGGATTGAGCTAGAATCGAGAAATAACTTAACATTACTAATTGACTTTTTCTGTACTTAATTCGTGATAACCCCAAATTAATCACTCTATTCATTGGTTGATTGAAAAACATGTATGCAAAACAGCTTCTCTGGGTTGTTACTGAAAAGACACTATTATCACATTTATGCACATTTGTTTCAATTTGTTTAAAAAACAAGTGGAAATTTCGATCACCTTTTTTACAATTATGGAAGAAGATTTTTTCATGAAAGTCATTTTACTGAATTTAATTTTGATGAACAAACAGATTTATTTTGAGAAATAGAACTTTTCTTTTTCTGCAAACAGATTAGTTCGATTCTCCGATAAACCAATCGCATTCTGTGACCGTGCGGGTTAAAGAGCTGAAACTTATTATTTGTTTCTCATTTGTTGTTTGAAAAATGTAAAAACTGTTGCTTCACATTGAATTGTAAACTTGCATCAATCTAAAACCAGTTTCTTGATTTTGGCAATTGGCCTTAAAACTTTGAGGCTCAATATTTCGAGAATGGCATCACATACAATAATTTGGCTGCTTTGAGTGAAAATCGAACTGATTACAGGAAAAGAAAATTGCATTTCTCAAAATGAATATTACAAATAATACACTTGTCGACAAAAGTTACATCAGTAAAATGACTTTCATGAAAAAAGCTTCCAAAATTGTACAAAAGACTTCAAAGGCAAAAGGTATAAAAGTTTCAACTTTAAAATCGATTTTCTCGAAAAACCAATGATCAGAGAACGTTTTGAATCGCACAAATGGACTTCAGTGCTTATGTCTCTACACATCAACAGAGTTCAAATGCGCAAGAAATCCATATTCACTATTTCATCATGTTCAGGTTATGCACATAACTTTGATAGTAAACAAAAATATTGGTTTTAAAGTGTGTTTCTGGTTCGCTGTTGCTGTCAACTTACTAATAATGTCACTTCGTGGGATTATCGTTTTGGTTATTTTTACACAATTATTCGGTGAAATAGCTTTTTTGAATTTTATTTGAAAAAATTGATTGTAATTTAATTGAGCGACTTTTGATGTTTAATTGGGTGATTCGTATAATATACCTAATTAAATCATTATTGAAGATATTTAATTAAAAATCTAAATCGTTTATTTTATTACCATGACTCTGTGGTATTTCGAGAGCGTAACAATATCAGAGGTTTGACAGTACAGTTTGATTCCGTATATTTTGATCTTCTTAAGCCCTTCACTTCAGGCGCTTCATTTGTGTGGGCTAACTGTAAAATTAATTTTAGTTCACATAGATGTCAGCACTTTAAAAATCAAAATACGAAGTTGAACTTTAGTCAAAATTTAGAATTTAGAATATTTAATAGAATATTTTGCTTTATAGCTTATTCTTTCACACCCTTCATTCTCGCAAATAAATCTCATCTTTAATTGCAAACTTTCTCATTTGTTTTAACCATGTCCCAATTAAGTCAGTCTAGTATTGATTTCGGTTTGAATTTCTTAAAACAAATTAGTTCTCAATGTGATTCAAAAAATATACTTTTATCGCCTTTAAGTGTTATTACTGGTTATTGTATGGTATTGGATGGAGCCGCTGGTGAAACAGAGCAACAGATCAAAAAGGTTCTCAACTTGGATAAAATAAATGACCAATCGGAAGATATTTCTGGTTTAATCAAACAGGTAATGAATAACTGATTTTTTGTTTGCATTTTGATATAAAATCTCACTTGAGTGACTTTTTCATTAATTTTTGGCTTTTTTTTTCTTGACAGGTTATTGAAAGCTATCTGAAACCTGCAACTGCTGGATCGAGGCAAGAATCCATTCTAAAGTTTGGTAATTTACTTATGGCCAATAAAGATGACAAATTTCAGAAAGCTTATGTTCAAAGTCTGAAGACAAATTATTTTGCTGAAGCATTTAATGAGGATTTTACTTTTGGCCGAAAAATAGTGGAAAAAGTGAATTCTTGGGTTTCTAATAATACAAAAAATAAGATCACTTCTATTCTCAATGAGCCTCCAAGTCCACTTGATGTTCTGTTTCTAGTGAACACAATCTATTTCGAAGGGGAGTGGTTGAAGTCTTTCTCTAAAGATCGTACGAAAGATGATATATTCAACAATTCAGATGGAACGACAATTAAGACCAAGATGATGACCATGTCAGGAGAATTCTTTAACTATGTTGAACGACTTGATAAACAATTAAAGGTAAGCAATATGCATTGGTCTTATAAATAAAATTATGAATAAGATATTAACAGTTTGTAAACATTTCCTTGTCTTTTCCACAAACAGATTGTCGAGCTTCCATATGTTGGAAATATCAGCATGATATTGATTCTCCCAACTCAGGACAACAATTTAAAAAAGATGATTGATAGTTTGGACTCAACTGAGCTTTCCAGTTTGATGGAGTCTATGAAAAAGACGCGTTTGGATACTTTAACAATACCGAAATTCAAACTGGAAGATATCCATCAACTACACAAAATTTTACCAAACATGGGAATGACGCGACCATTTAAAAAAGCTGATGCTGAATTTCCAAGAATTACTGAAGAGTCTTTACCATTATACATATCACAATCAATACAAAAAGCTGTAATTGAAGTATTTGAAAAAGGCACTATAGCGACAGCGGCAACTGTAGTTAACATAAAACTAAAGGGTAAAACTTGTTCTTCATTCAGAATGCCACTCATCACATTTATAGCTGATCGACCTTTTATGTTCTTTATTCGTGATAACAAAAGTGGAGTCAATCTATTCATGGGTCAATTGAGTAAAATGACACGCCAACAGTTTCTTTGAAAATTATTTTGATATTGTACAAGGACGAAACTTATTGTAAATTGTTGTAAACAATTTCATAAGAATAAACTCAACATAAAATTTACAAAGTTTAACCAGTTCTTTGAAAAATCATTGTATCTTCTATTAGCCGATTGCAGCCAAACAATGTTCTAAATGTTAATGATTAGGTTTATAATTTTTTCTTTGCTAATACATTTTTTGCGGCGTTTGACAGAAAAATTAACGAATTAACGTTGTTCCGTAAAAATTTAGATTTAAAACCAGAAATGCTCTGCATTCTTGTGATTCATCACAATCTCAGTCAATTGTCGATGAAAATACTTTAAACTTCGAATCACATTCATAAATTATATTGGCAGAGTGATGGTTTTGAAAAGAATCACCTTGATTTATTTCGAGCAATGTTCAAAATTAAATTGACGCTTGCAAGGCGTATACGCTTAAAATATTCAATTTTCATTAATAGTCTTCAGGCACATTTTATTGAAAGTTTCATTTTGATTACACATTTAACCAAATTGTAGCACCATCTATGCATATTAATTATAATTAAATATTGAAGGATTTAATTCTTGATCTAAGATCCGATATTTTGATCATTTTGCTGTAAAAACCTTATCAACTGAGTTTTGAATGAACTGAATTTTTAATCAAAACATTAGTTTCTTTTATATGTGTGTTTGCATGTAAATTTAAATATTTTTCTTATCATCTGTAGTTTAAGTGATTTAAAATATTCTTCATAATTGAAAATGTCACAATTAAGCAAGCCCAGTATTGATCTTGGTTTGGACTTCTTGAAAAAAGTTGGTTCTGATTCAACCAATTTACTTTTGTCACCATTAAGTATTATCATGGCCTATGGAATGGCACTCGAAGGAGCCGCTGGTGAAACTGAAAAACAAATCAGAACAGGCCTGAATGTGGATAAAGTTGATAGCCAACAAGTAGATGTTTCAAAAATAATCAAACAGGTAATTATGAATGTATTTACATATCAATTGTTTGGGGTGTCAACAATAACTGTCACTTGCATCCAATAATCGCTTTTTTCTTTTTTGGAAGCTTATGGAAAAATATCTGAAGAATAAGGACTCTGCTTCTGAGAAAAAATGCTTATTAGAGTTTGGCAATTTACTTATGGCTAAAAAAGATTTCAGGCTTCAAAAGACTTTTGTTCAAAACTTACAAACTAACTATTCTGCCAATGCATTCAATGAGGATTTTACTGATGGCCAAAATATTCTAGAAAAAGTCAACTCTTGGGTTTCTGAAGCTACAAGAAATAAAATTTCAACGATTCTCAACGAACCACCAGAACCTGACGCTGTGTGTTTGCTAGTAAATACAATTTATTTCGAAGCTAATTGGCTAAAACCTTTTGATGAAGATTCTACAGAAGAGAAGATATTCACCAATTCAGATGGATCAACAACTAAGGTTAAGATGATGACTCTTTCAGATGATACCTTTAACTTTGCAGAATGTCCTGAAAAAAAATTAAAGGTAAAACCATTGTTCAAACATAATGTAATTTTTACCTAACGATTCATTTATCGTTTTTCATTGACAGATTGTCGAGATTCCATATTTTGCAAATATTAGCATGGTATTGATCCTTCCAACTGGTGACAACAACCTAAAAAAGATGCTTGAAAATTTGGACTCAACTGAGCTTTCCAGTTTGATAGACTCCATGTCAAGAACACGTTTGGGTACTTTAACTATACCGAAATTCAAACTGGAAGATATTCATCAACTACACAAAATTTTACCAAGCATGGGAATGACTCGACCATTCCAAATGAATGCTGAATTTCCAAGAATCACTGAAGGTTCTTTACCATTATACATTTCAAAATCAATACAAAAAGCCTTGATTGAAGTCACTGAGGCTGGTACCGTAGCAACTGCGGCAACTCAAGTTGAATTCATGTTGGGATGTTCACTTTACTCACCACAGCCGCAAAAAGTGTTTAATTTTATAGCAGATCGGCCATTTCTTTTCTCCATTCGTGATAATCTAACAAAAGTCAATCTATTCATGGGCCAATTGAATAGTATAACTTCCAAGCAGATTATTTGAATTCAACATAATTTATAAATTGGTTTGATTACTCCAAATTAACTCAGAATCTGCAAAATTTTTACATCACAATTAAATTACATTTATATTTTTGTTTATACTCTCTACCTGAAGTTTATATGATTAATATTAAAAATCCAAACTATGGATTAATCCAATCGTTCAAGTTTAAGATCGATTTGACTCACAGGAAAGCCGCACAAGTTAGCTTAGTAACACGGATGAGTTTGGAAGAAAAAAATATGTATGAATGAATTATTTTACTGAATGTTACGATAGAAAATTAACATTTTTTCACTCCCGTAAGGGTAATCTCTTAATGGTTGTAAAACTTGATCATTGTTTACTTCTTTCCAACTTTCCCCATGTTTTATGTGGAGAATAACATTTGCACCAGATATTTTATCTCCCGATTGGCCACTATGGTGTCGCAATGGTTTTTCGATGTCAGATTGTCCAACTTTACATGTATTTAAGTTGACTGAATAAGCATATTTTTCGTATGCAGTACCAAAAACATTCAAATTGTCTGGCAGCCCTATTTTTATTTCATTAGAAAGATCGTCTTCTACCTTTTCTTCAATCATGAAAACTAGGATCGATGGCAGAGATATCATTTTCTTCTTCACTGTGAAATCACTTCCTTGACAGCTGTTACCTGAAGACAAAGATTTGTTAGTTAATTGTAATTTCTATGAACTAACGCATACTTACAATTCACATTTCTGAGTGTCAAAAACGATTTTTCAGTATCCATGGCGTCATTCAAAGAGTTAAAAACGCCAAAGTAGCTTCTTCTCAAGATCAGGTATGGTTGATTGATAATATATTTATCTATTTGATTGCACGTTGAACATTCAAACTCAATTTTGAAGTTGAAATTGAGGACATCCTCGAATGGATTTGAAGTTTTAAATTCCTCATACAGCTTTCTCATAATATCTTTATACAAAGTTGTGTCATCTCCTCCTAGACTCAAAAATAAATAAAAGCAAACATTAAAAAATAAGTTAAAACTAATTTGTTAACGCATAAAGGACATACCTGGTGTAGCGTAATCTTTTTGTTCAATTCTAAGTAGTAATAGAATTTTGATAATAAATTGATCTATTTTGAGATCAGGTTTTCTTCCAGGTTGTGTGCTAGGACCAGGATTGTTAACCATTGAAAAATTTTGATCGAAACTAGCTTTTCGATATTCCTCAAATAAGCCTTTAATTCCATAAAAAAGTTTGAACTTAGACTTATTTGTTGATGCAATCTCTGTCGCTCTTACCAAACTTTCAACAAAAAATTTATTCCAGAATAATGGCAGAAAAACGGGAATGAAAAAATCATGTCCTCTATAATTTGGAAACCCAATGAGATTTTTTGGCTAAGTGCAAGGAAATAAAACTTATGTATTGTACTTTTTTTACACACTCACAATTTTACTTACCATTTGCGTTGTGTCTTCTAATTGATTCAGTAATTTAATTGCAGCTTTTTGCTTTGCTTTTTGGTATGAAGTGTCTACTGCTCGACACGAAATCTCTTTTTGCTTCTCAACGTTGAAAAGCGTGAATTGATATGCGAAAAGCTTGTGTTTAAATGATGAAGTCCGTTTCTCGCTTTTTTCTTGATGAATTCGCAGCCCTCCACGGCTTTTGCCTACAACAGTATTAAACAAATGCGTAACTGGCTCTTTGTGTGTGCATTCAAATACCTCATCTTTCAAAGCCATGTAATCTGCATCACTCATTTCATCAATTCCAGTCATCTGAAAAAAAGAATAGTTTAGAAATTAGAAAGCGTAAACTACTATGATTTACTATGAGATACTTTGCTTACAATGCAATCAATCATATAAATAGTGACTCGATTATTCACAAATTACTAACTGCAACAAAGAAATCGATGATATTGATGAAAATTTCTAATCTGAATGATATTATGGTCAGTGTATATTTTGTACAAAAAGATTTTGGATTTCTGATCTTAAATTAAATAAAAAATTACAGATTTTAGGTATTGATTGAACTATGCAGTACCTACAAACATCATTCTTAGATTATTATGGACTGAAAAATAATAAGGTTTTATATTGAAGAAGTTCATTTAATAATGATCTATAATCTAATAATCCCTCTAATGAACAATAATATTATTTAAAAAAGATAGACACTAATCATAAAAAATAGTTTGTCGTTCACCTGATAGTAAAAATGTTTTTACTCATTTTTGAAATAATGGAATGAGATTGAGATATGGCGAGAAATGATTGTTAAATTCAATGCGTTTTCTAGTCATCTTATAACTAATCCAAATTGTCCAAAGGTCAACAATCCAAGCTTGGATTTCTTCAACCACTCGAATTGAAGACCGATTTGACTCACAGGAAAATCGAACAAGTTAGCTTAGTAACATGTCAAATCGACGATTTGAACTAGCTATAAATATGTTACAAGAAAACAACGAAAAAGCATTCAATTTCTGCACATCTTTGACCATATTTCTATGGTAAAAGATTTAAATAACTTACTTTGTGAGATCCTAGATCCTTGTTGTTCAAAACTCTTGTTGTCCAGTTGCACCAATAAATCAAATCAATTGTTCCAAATGCTTTTTGTGTCCAAAGAAAAAGAAAGATCTTAGATGAATATAAAAATTTAATCATTTTCTGTTTGTTTTTTTAATTTCCGTTCATCTTTTACCATAATTTCTGTGATAAAAGTTTAAAATTACTTACTTCAATTTGATCCTTGTAGTCCAATTTTATTGAAGCAAAACATCCGTAAATTTCAAATGGTTGGCAGCCAAACCTGAAAAAATGAAAAAAAGAACAAGAAAAAAGTATTAGAATTGTTCTATGATTTGAATAGATACAAAAAACTTACAATTAAAGTGAAAAATATTTAATTATAATAGTTAATAATATTAAATATAACAGAAATACGAATATATTTGACAAAAAGATGATATTAAACATGAAATTTTGTATATGATAGGCTGCCTTTCCGATACAAATTGCTGCCATTTATTTTTAAAAAAAATCTTAAACATTGCCATCTAGCGAGCAGATACGGGTATGTTGGCCCCAACATTTGCTCTCAAATATCTTTAGCTTGTTACATTTCTTCAAAACAATAACTGATGTCTCATTTATATTGGGTTTTCACAATAAGTTTAAAAGTGTTCCGATGTCTTTCCGGATATTTTCACTTTATTGGTCGAGCACGCAAATTTTGTATTCGTTTATGAGGATAAAAAAAATAATGACCACAAAATTTTGAATTTTAAGAACCGAAAGAGACTTCTGTAATTATCATTGTTGAATCTACAAACAAGGCTGGATGGGAAATATGATCAAAGATATTTATGGAGATTTTCTATGAAATTCATAGACACTCTTCTCGATTGAATTCATTCAAAATTAAGATAATAGATTGGAAATTGAACTTTTAACCATTATTTAGCCCTAGAGTGTCTCAGTATTTTTATTTATTGAATTTTGTACTATTTTCATTGTTTCGATTGGACCTGAAGATGACTCTAATCATACATATTGTTATGTATATTTCGTGATAACTCAATTTAACTTTCATTTTCTAAACTGTTGTTGATTTTATGTTTTTATTTTTGTTTTCATCTCATTTTCATTTTTTTCATACATAGATGTTAAATTGTTTTAAGAGGAAACGAGAAGCTGCTGCTGATGTAAGTATAGACATGATGGTTGAACAAGTTGAAAAATCAGCTCAATTGATTACATCAAGTGCCGGAACAGCTTTAAAGACTCAATCAATATCTGATGTGTAAGCTGGTTAAAGCAGACTTCAGGTAAGTCTAGGTTCATCATTCGCTGATTTTGTTCTTTGCATTCACTAAGAAATTTCATTACAGAATCAGATGACAACTGAGTAAGTACTGGAAGCTCCTGAAAGGTCGCGAAAGGTTAGGTTTTTGCAGCAACATAATTATCTAAATAAATAAAAGAAAAATCAGTAGTTTCCCCCTGTAGTTCACATAGATGTCAACCCTCCAAAAAATCAAAACTCAAGTCAAAATTTAGCATTTGAAACTTTTAAATTAAATGATTTGTTTGTAAAGCAAGTATAATTAAACAACACCATCTATGAACCTTAGTTGTGATTTAACTTAAATGACCATAGTTCAAAATTTCAATAGTCATAGATGGTGTTGTTTAATGTTTTTTGTTATCTAAACCCTACTCATCTTTGTCCAATAAAGCTCATTAAGCTTTGCGCATTTGTGACAACTTGCTTGAAACACCTTTAGCTTATAAATCATAAAACCCCTTCATTCTCGCAAATAAATCTCATTTTAATCATTTGTTTTAACCATGTCCCAACTAAGTAAGCCTAGTATTGATTTCGGATTGAATTTCTTAAAACGAATTAGCTCTCAATGTGATTCAAAAAATATACTTTTATCGCCGTTAAGTGTTATTACTGCCTATTGTATGGTATTGGATGGAGCCGCTGGTAAAACAGAGCAACAGATCAAAAAGGTTCTCAATTTGGATAAAATAAATGACCAATCGGAAGATATTTCTGGCTTAATCAAACAGGTAATGAATAACTGATTTTTGTTTGCATTTTAATATAAAATCTCACTCCAATGACTTTTTTCATTAATTTTTGGCTTTTTTTTCTTGACAGGTTATTGAAAGCTATCGGATACCTGCAACTGCTGGATCGAGACAAAAATTCATTCTAAACTTTGGTAATTTACTTATGGCCAATAAAGATGAAAAGTTTCAGAAAGCTTATGTGCAAAATCTGAAGACTAATTATTTTGCTGACGCATTTAATGAGGATTACAAAGAGGGCCAACAAATTGTGGAAAAGATTAATTCGTGGGTTTCTAATAACACAAAAAATAAGATCACTTCTATTATCAATGAGCCTCCAAGTCCTCTTGATGTTCTTTACCTAGTGAACACAATCTATTTCGAAGGAAAATGGTTGATGCCTTTCTCTAAAGATTGTACAAAAGATGATATATTCCACAATTCAGATGGAACGACAGTCAAGACCAAGATGATGACCCTTTCAGGAGAAAGCTTCAACTATGTTAACCGACATGATAAACAATTAAAGGTAAGAGATGTGCATGAGCCTTATGAATAAAATTATGAATAAGATATTAACAGTTTGTAAACATTTCCATGCCTTTCCCACAAACAGATTGTCGAGCTTCCATATGTTGGAAATATTAGCATGATATTGATCCTTCCAACTGAAGACAACAATTTAAAAAAGGTGATTGATGATTTGGACTCAACTGAGCTTTCCAGTTTGATGGAGTCTATGAAAAAGACGTATTTGGATACTTTAATTATACCGAAATTCAAACTGGAAGATATTCATCAACTACACAATATTTTACCAAAAATGGGAATGACTGCACCATTTCAAAAGGATGCTGAATTTCCAAGAATTACTGAAGAGCCTTTACCATTATACATATCAAAATCAATACAAAAAGCTGTAATTGAAGTATTTGAAGAAGGCACTATAGCGTCTGCGGCAACTGTGGTTGAAGGACTCTTTATGCTAGCTTGTTCTCCATTCAGTACACCACTCATCACATTTATAGCTGATCGACCTTTTATGTTCTTTATTCGTGATAACAAAAGTGGAGTCAATCTATTCATGGGTCAATTGAATAACATGAGCCACCAACAGTTTCTTTGAAATTTACTGTACTTTGATACCGCATCAGTGCGAAACTTATTGTAAATTGTAAACAATTTTATAAGAATAAACTCAACATAAAATTTACAAAGTTTAACCAGCTCTCTGAAAAATCATTGTTTCTTCTATTAGCTGATTGCAACAAGACAATTTTTTAAATGTTAGTGATTCGGTTAAATCAATTTCTTTGTTAATACATTTTTTTTCGACTCTTGATAGGAAAATTAGGGAATGAATGTTGATCCATAAAAATTTAGATTTATAAAACCAAAAATGCTCTGCGTCTTGTGATCCATCACAATCTCAGCAAATTGTCGATGAAAATACTTTCTTTCGAATCGCAATCATAAATTATATTGGCAGAGTGATGGTTTTGAAAAGAATCACCTTGATTCATTTCGAGACATATTGAAAATTAAATTGACGCTTACAAGGCGTATACGCTTAAAATATTCAATTTTCATTGAGAGTCCTCAGGCACATTTTATTGAAAGTTTCATTTTAATTTGCTTATTTAACAAAATTGTAGCACCATCTATGCATTTTAATTATAATTAAATATTGAAGGATTGAATTCTTGATCTAAGATCCGATATTTTGATCATTTTGCTGTGAAAACCCTTATCAACCGAGTTTTGAATGAACTGAATTTTTAATCAAAACATTAGTTTCTTTTATATATGCTTTACATGTTAATTTAAATATTTTTCTTATCATCCGTAATTTAAGTGATTTAAATATTCTCTATAATTGAAAATGTCACAATTAAGCAAGCCCAGTATTGATCTTGGTTTGAACTTCTTGAAAAAAGTTGGTTCTGATTCAACCAATTTACTTTTGTCACCATTAAGTGTTATCATGGCCTATGGAATGGCACTCGAAGGAGCCGCTGGTGAAACTGCAAAACAAATCAGAACAGTTTTGAATCTGGATAAAGTTGATAGCCAACAAGGAGATGTTTCAAAAATAATCAAACAGGTAATTATGAATATTTACATATCAATTTTTTGGGGTGTCATCAATAACCGTCACTGACATCCAATAATCGCTATTTTTCTTTTTTTGGAAGCACATGGAAAAATATCTGAAGAATAAGAACTCTACTTCTGAAGAGAAAAAATGCCTATTAGAGTTTGGCAATTTACTTATGGCTAATAAAGATTTCAGGCTTCAAAAGACTTTTGTTCAAAACTTACAAACTAACTATTCTGCCAATGCATTCAATGAGGATTTTACTGATGGCCAAAATATTCTAGAAAAAGTCAACTCTTGGGTTTCTGCAGCTACAAGAAATAAAATTTCAACGATTCTCGACAAACCACCAGAACCTGACGCTGTGTGTTTGCTAGTGAATACAATTTATTTCCAAGCTAATTGGTTAAAACCTTTTTATGAAGATTCTACGGAAGAGAAGATATTCACCAATTCAGATGGATCAACAACTAAGATTAAGATGATGACTCTTTCAGATGATACCTTTAATTTTGCAGAATGTCTAGAAAAAAAATTAAAGGTAAAAACATTATTCAAACATAATTTAATTTTTATCTAACGTTTCATTTATCGTTTTTCATTGACAGATTGTCGAGATTCCATATTTTGGAAATATTAGCATGGTATTGATCCTTCCAACTGGTGACAACAATTTAAAAAAGATGATTGATAATTTGGACTCAACGGAGCTTTTCAGTTTGATAGACTCCATGTCAAGAACACGTTTGGGTACTTTAACTATACCGAAATTCAAACTGGAAGATAATCATCAACTACACAAAATTTTACCAAGAATGGGAATGACTCGACCATTCCAAATGAATGCTGAATTTCCAAGAATTACTGAAGGGTCTTTACCATTATACATATCAAAATCAATACAAAAAGCT